GAAACTCCAATACTTTGGCCACCTGATGTGAAGAACTGACTCCTTGGGAAAGACCCTGATGCTGGGAAAGATTGAGGGCAGGAGGAGAAGGGGGCGACAGAGGATGAGATGGTTGGATGGCACTACTGACTCAATGGACATGAATTTGAACAAACTCTGGGAGATAGTGAAGGACAAGGAAGCCTGGCATGCTGCAACCCATGGGGTCACAAAGAGTCATACACGACTGAGCAACCGAACACATGGATTTAGAAATCCAATAGAACTGATGAGCAGATAAAAAAACACAGCAGCTCCTAGCCCTGCCTCCTCCAACCCTGCCCACTTTCCAGAGGAAGCAGTTGTCAACTCTTTTAGGGGTTTCTGTGGATAATTCCTCCCTCTATTTTGCAATCTGCAAGGACCTCTATTTTGTGACCAAGCCATTTTAGATAGTACACAAGGATCTGCCTTGATGACAGAAATCTGTGTTCCCTCCACCCCTCCCCACCCAGCAGTGATCAGCAACTGGTGTTGACATTATAACCAGTCACTGCAGTCACGTGGAGGACCAGGAGTTCACTTTCTTCCTTGAATAACTTTTGGTTCTTTCTGGAGCTGTGTTTCATCAAGTCTCATATCCATGACTATTCATATCTATAATTCCTTTTTTTTTTTTTAATCGCTCAGTCATGTCCGATTCTCTGTGACTCCATGGTCTGTAACCCACCACGCTTGTCTATCCACGGGATTTCCCAGGCAAGAATACGATAGTGGGTTGCCTACTCCAGGAGATCTTCCCAACCCAGGAATTGAACCTGAGTCTCTTGCAGCTCCTGAATTGGCAGGTGAATTCTTTATGACCTAGCTACCTATGAAGCCTCACCCATATCTATATGGGTCCTCATTCTCCCCACTGCTCTGTGATCCACAGAACCTCGTTTCTTTGCCAATGTGGAAGCTAATGTTTTCTCTCTCTCCAGGCCTCTGCGGCCCCAAGAGACCTCCTTCCGGAGCCTCTCTATCGTCCTGGCCCCATCGAGGTGTACTTCTCACCAGATCTGTGCAAAGCCGTCACTCTGGGGCAGTGCTTCTCAACTGATATAATTTTCCCTTAAAGGAGACCTCTGCCTGGTTTTCACAATTGGAAAGGGGTGCTACTGGCATCTAGAGGGTGGAGGCCAGGGGTGCTGCTAAACACCCTATGAAGCACAGGATGCCCCATCACTAAGAATTACCTAGCTCAAGAGATGAACAGGCAGAGTTTGAGAAATCCTGTTCTGAGACGTCTATTTATCACCATCTTAATTTTTTCTTAAAACAGATTTACTGATATAGAATTCACATACCAAAATCTTTACCTAAAGTATACAATTTAATGGCTCAGATGGCAAAGAATCTGCCTGCAATGCAGGAGACCTGGGCTTGATCCCTGGGTCGGGAAGACCCCCTGGAACAGGAAATGGCAACCCACTCCAGTATACTTGCCTGGATAATCCCATGGACAGAGAAGCCTGGTGAGCTACAGTCCATGGGGTCTCAAAGAATCAGACATGACTGAGTGACTAATACATATTCACAGAGTTTTCCAACCATTATCACAATCAACCTTAGGATATTTTTATCCCCTCGCCTCAAAAAAGCCCAGGCAGTCATTTTCCATTTCCGCACCACACCCCACACACCCCTCCTCCAACCCTAGGAAACCACTAATCTATTGCTTCTATGGATTTGCCTATTCTGGCCATTTCATATAAGTAGAATCATATAATATGTGGCCCCTTGCATCCTTTCACTGAGCATAATGCTTTCAAGGTTCACCCAGGGTGTTGTATGTGTCGATACTTTGGTCCTTTTTATTGCCAAATATTATTCCACTGCAAGCTGTGTCTCAACCATCCTGAGATAGATATTGTGCGGTGTTTATCCAACCACTGGTGGAAAGTCATCTTCATCTTTACACCAGCTGCCCAGCACCCCCTCTATGGGTGCACCCGATTCATTTACCCTGTTCCTCTCTGGGAGGTATCTGAGTGGTTTCCAACTTTCTATTGCTAAGAACAGTGGAAATCTGGGTGGAACCTTTCAGAGTATGGAAGTCCATAGTCTGCCTACGCACGGGGGCGGGGTGAGGGGTGGTGTTAAGTTTTATTCTAGTGTTTGGCTTTTTTCTCAATGAGAACAGAATTCTCCCCAAAGCATTCTGTCCACCTAACAGGCATCCTGGGGTAGTCACTTACTCTTCATCTGTTTGTACACAGTTATCAAGCTCGATCACGTGGCTCCCAATGAACCAGACCAAATTGGAGAAGTAAGGAACAGCGGTTTTGTCTCTGATATAGTGCAGCATGGCCTGGTTATCCACTAAGAAGATTCACAAAAGAAGAGAAAAAAAATAAGTCAAGCTACCAAAAATAACTTGGGGGGAGATTAAAAAAAAAAAAAATGCAATGAAAAAGCCCTCTACTATAATCTGACTCTTTTCTGTCTTTCCTGGAAATACTTTAAAATGGCTGCCTTATTCAGAAAACTATGAAGGTAGTTATGTTATTTTTATAATTAACAAAATCAATGAATCTGGGTTAAACATTGATAGTGCATGAGGAAACCTTATCAGCAGTGCATTTAGCTAGACTACGATGAAAACTACACCATTCTCAAGCAAGTTTCTTGTATTTGCATGTAAGGGTAAGTCAAGAAAGCAGAAAACCAGAAGTTATTAACTTACATGACACTGGAATAAGGAACACAGGAATCGTCATTGAAGGAAAGGCAAAAAACAGACAACAGTTAACAGGGTTAGGAGCTGGGAGGGTGAGACAGCTGCTCAGAGGGGCAGAGAGCTAGGGCAGGAGGCATCTAAACAGAAAGACACAGGTTAGGAGAGAGAAGAGAGCAGGAGGCGGCAGGGCTGGGGCTCAGACCGGGGCATGAGTCCAGAGGCCTGTGGGCTGGCCGGCAACCGGTGAGCGAAGCCAGCAGGCCCAGCGGGGGAACGGAGGCGCACGGCCTGACCCCAGAGCAGCAATTCTCGGCGCCGGTTCACCCCTGCCTTGCAGGGCTGTGTGCCCGCAACAGCCACATCTACCTTCTCAAGTCAGAAATCCAGGCTGTGACTCCAGCTCTCTCGTTTTAAATATCGATGACTATGTATTTTTTAAAAAAATATCTAAACCAATGAAAACCTGTCTGAGAGCTGGATTTGGCCCCCAGGTTATGACCCCCAGATGGCCCCCACTCTGAGCTCTTAGAAGGCTCTCCAGTCTAAGGCCATCCCAGAACCAGGCTGAAGTGAGTCCCCGAGCAGTGCCTAAACCCCCCTCCCAATTAGGGGTCATCCCCAGTAATAACGTCTTAACTTAAGAAGGTCAAAGCATCTGGTCCCTGAGAAAACAGGGTCCCGGCTCCAGGGTGGGGACTACACGGGAAGCGACCCGGGTGTCGTTGGGCAGAGAGCCCAGCACACTCCAGCCAGGAGACTCCTATCCAGCCAGCCTTTGTGACCCTGGGGGCGAGAAGCCACAGGAGGGCTTTCTCCTGGGGGCAGTGATCTGGGCGTTCAGTACTTTTTGAGAGAGAGGAGGAATTTGTTGTTGGGCTTTGCGGCAGGTTGAGAATACAACATTGCCCCCTGCTGTTTGCAACAAGAAATGCGCTTGTGCGTTATTTACAGATAACACGCCTCCTGGCGGTACTGAAGTATATTTTACAGGCCAAGGGGCAAACTCAAAGACTCGTTCAAAGACAGCTGTGCCTTATCTAATTAACACAAGTGCCTCTCTTAGGCCATCACGCCTTCCCTGTGTCGGCATTGTGGGAGACTTTCCCATGCAGAACTAAGTGTGCGTGGACAAGGCGGAGGCACAGGAATTTATGTTAGGGGGTGGCTAAGTGGTCCATGATGACCACCTTTCATGAGACAGGTAACCCCAGCCATAATAAACCGAGCCATAAATGAACTCCCTGTCACCACCACAGAACTGTCTGTAGGGCCTCATGAGAGCAAGCACTAGCTGTCATGTTAGAAACCCAACAAGGCGCAAGCTCACAGGGGAACTTACCTTTGTAGACGTTTAACGTTATGGTTCTTACAGCAATTCTGACCATGCTTTCAGGGTGGTTGAAAAATTTGATGGCTTCTGTGTACAGGGCGAAGTCATTAGTGTGCTAAAACACAACAAGTACCCAAAATGAGTCACACACCCATTAACAGGACTGCCCCCACCCCGGATTTCTGAACCCTATCAGTGAAAGTTGCTCAGTCGTGTCCGACTCTTTGTGATTCCATGGACTATATAGTCCATGGAATTTTCCAGGCCAGAATACTGGAGTGGGTAGCTTTTTGCTTCTCCAGGGGATCTTCAAAACCCAGGAATCAAACCCAGGTCTCCCGCATTGCAGGCAGATTCTTTACCAGCTGAGCCAGCAGGGAAGCCCAAGAATACGGGAGTAGGTAGCTTATCCCTTCTCCAGGGGATCTTCCCAACCCAGGAATCGAACCGGGGTCTCCTGCATTGCAGGCAGATACTTGACCAGCTGAGCTACCAGGGAAGCCTATCAGAGATGTTAGTAAAACACACACACAGCACCCACATGAACCTGTGGGGAACATGGAGAGGGGTGAGACAGTGAGACCATGGAAGAAACAGAAATGGGTCCAGCCAATGGCAGGCCTAGGTTCAGGATCTGTTCCACCAGTCTTAGCTATGTGATGTAGTATTTCTAAGTCTCCATTTCGACATTTGTAAAATTCCCACTTCGTGGTTGCTAATATTAAATGAGATTATTTCAGGTGCAGTGCCCGATACCAAAGGAGCACTCGATGATAATTCCAGAGGTTGTTACTAGATTCTGCTTCAAAAAGCAGCATTTCAAAAGGCAAAGTGCAAAGTCTCATTACATTTAGAACATCTTTTAGCTAATACATAGGCTTCCCTAGTAGCTCAGTTGGTAAAGAATCTGCCTGCAATGCAGGAGACCCAGGTTCAATCCCTGGGTCGGGAAAATCCCCTGGACAAGGGACTGGCAACCCACTCCAGTACTCATGCCTGGAGAATGCCATGGACAGAGGACCTGGCAAGGCGGCTATGGAATCGCAGAGAGTCAGACATGACTGTGCGACTAACTTTCCTTTCCTTTTGCTAACATATATCTCCATTTGGAAACACTACAAGTGTAAACATTACTGTGGAAGAGGAGGGCCTAGAGAATCTTCTGCCATTTAAAAGGGATTATCAGAACAGATCAAAACCAGAGAACAGATCAAAACCGTTCAGAACCAGAGAAGCGGAGCCTAAAGGAAAAGGCGCGCAGGACCCGGGAGCATGAAATGACGTGCTCCGCTGCCCTCTTCTGGCCAGTGTTTCGCATGGCACCCGATGAGACTGGAGGGCACCCCCAGGCAGGGAAGCCGCAACCAGTGACCTTCAGTGAGGTGACACCTGTCTAATGAGGGCAACGCGACTTTGAGCACTAGACACAGGTGTGCACCTAAGAGGTGGCAGCTACGGCACGAGCCCACAGAAACGGAAACCAAGTCCACCTCAAAGATCAGGCTCCTGCGACTCCTCTGGGATCAGCTGGATATGCTTCCAGAAGCATCACCACGGCCCCAGAATCCCTGCATCCTGCCCTCCCCACCCCGCCCCTCCACCAGCAGCTGCACAGAAGCCCAGCTGCACCTGAGCTGGGGAAGAACCTGGCCCCCTCTCCAGTCTGAACTTCGCAGGTGGGTTTCCTTCTGCCCAGGAGAGCCTCTGGGAGAATGCAAACAGCACCCCTCTGGTCTCTGGACACAGTCAGTGAGCACCTACTGTGTACCAGGCACTGGGCCACACAACGTCAATCTTCTAAACCATCCCACACCTTGTGGCTGGCAGCTAGTATTCCTTCCCTTTGTAAAAGGGAACAGCGGCCTTCCCTTGTAAAAGAAATGGACCGTGTGGTGGTTGAGTTTTAACGAAAGCAATTTCAGGAACGATATGTGAGCAAGAGGCCAGTTTTTGCTCACTACAAATCTAGACAAAACAAATCAAAGTGCAAGAGGCTGTTGCTACATCCTACGAAGACAGCTGGGTGGATTTTGCCCAAACTCAGAGGAAATGTCTGGGACTGTGGTCTGACTTCAAGTATAGGCTGTGCAGAGTATGTGACCACCGATCAGAGGACACCTGCCGGACAAACAGCACGTGGCTGTGTGGCAGCTGGCCTCCAACATGGCCCAGTGACCCTCACCTCCTAGAATCACACCCTGTGCCTCCTTCCACGCTGAGTCAGGGCTGGCCTGGGCAGCCTAAAGAAGACAATGGAAGACGGTGTGTGGTTTCTGAGGCCCTGTCAGGAAAGGCGTTACAGCTTGCCTTGGTGTCTTGGGATCATTTATTCTATGGGACGCCAACTGCCACGCCAGGAGGACGCCCAAGCAACCCCCTAGAAGGGACTGTGTAACTGAGGCCTCCCAGCAATAGCCAGCGCTGAATGGTCAGCCATGTGGCTGAGCCACCCTGGAAGCAGATCCCCCAACCCTAATCCAGCCTTCGGATGACTGCAGCCTTGCGAGACTGAGCCAGAACTGCCCTGCCAGGCCATTCCCCAACACCAGACACACTGTGAGAGAAATGTGACAGAATTCTGACCAGCAAGATGGGAAAGGAAGTCTGCTGGAGGCTTCTGGGAAAGAAGTTTTGGGGCAAGTTAGAAGGGGGCACAAGAAAGGACAGGATCTCATCAGGCTTTTCAGCAGTGGCAAGTGAGTATGTGGTGTCTGGACTTCTGCAGCCACCCTGAGACCATGAGGGGTTTGAGCCTAGAGACAGATGCCAGCTCAGCAGGGCAGGACAATGGAGAAGTCTGGGTCGCTCACAAAGTGATCGAGCCACAGGATGAGCCAATCCCAGGAGGGCCAGAATCTGTACTTCTTGGAATGTGAGATTTATTGACCTGATCACTCAAGCTCTTCTTAACTGTAAGAACAATAGCAACTCATTTATTTAAATTGTTAGTAATTCTCCCAAAGAATATCAGGGATTTTAGCATACAAAGCACAACAAGGGCTACAGTTTTAGGGAGTCAGGTACGTACTAGTTGCTTTGAAGACATCATCTCATTTAATTCAACCCCTGGAAAACCCTTCAAGGTAGAAACTATCATCACCATTTCTCAGATGAAGAAAGTGAGGCTCAGAAAACTAAGACTCCTTTAAGGTCACATAACAGTGAGGTGGCAAAGTTGGGTTTGACTGGAGTCGTCACTGTTTTGCCAACAGAGGAACACACCCCAGGTTAATTTCTGGGCACTTCTCCCCACCAAGAGTATCACGCTCTCAGGTGGCACAAATTGAATTTTACATTAAAAACAGAAAAGGTAACTTGTTCCATTAAAAAAGCAAAAAAACAAAACCCTGCCAAGGTCAAACAGTGTTGCTATGAAATAGTGAATCAGGAAACGGTGAATATATACGTGCTTTGTAAACAGACACAAGGTCACCCGAACCAAAGGCGCTGCTTGAACTGGCTAGCTTCCAACCAAACATGCCTCTGTGCAGCTACTTACCTCATTGTAAAAGAAATGGACCGTGTGGTTGTTGAGTTTTAACGAAAGTGTTTTCAGGAATGATATGTAATATGCCATAATCTCCTCATCAGAAAAGTCGAACTTGTGGACAATGATAGAATTTACATAGTTATTAGAGAGCAAATAATCTGGAGGGAGAAAAAAAAAGAAAAGAAAAAAACAACAGGTTAATTAACTCATGCCAGAGGAAAGACAAGCAGAGGAAGTCCAGGAACGAGAAGATGACCATGTGAAGGGACTTGAACCAGTCAGGCTGACAGAGGGCAGCTTAACCTTTAACCAGCACAGAAGAAATCAGCCTCCATGCGTAGTCACTACAAAGTTCGAGAGCGAGGCCCCAGAAAGCCCAGGACACGGCTGCCTCCCACAGCAGACACAAGAACCCTCGAGCATTCTCCTCCGCTGCTGGCGAAGTCCAGTGAGAGGGCCGGCGGCGGGGCAGACCAGGTGCTACGTGGGCAGTTTTGCAAAGCACCCACGGATGAGGGCCAGCTGCACCGTCTCTTATGAAAGGTGGCCCCATCTAGCCATCAGAAGTCACACTGTCACCCTTGAGTGCCACGGCGGGCTCCGCGTGGCTTTTCCCTTCCTACAGAGGCAACACGATTTTACAGAGGCCCCTGGAGGTTGAACCTCCACAACCTGGCCAGCACCAGGCGGACTGCTTTGCATCATCATTCAGTGAACCTGCAGAGTAGGCCTTGTTTGCCCTATTTTGCAGGTGAGTAAAAACACTAAGGTTAATTAATCTGCCTGAGGACAGAGAGACAGTAAGTCAGGAATGGAATTCAAACTTCAGTTCACTGTCCTGTGTTAATACCATGCCCTCATGGGGGCCACGGGCTTCCCTGGTAGCTCAGCTGGTAAAGTATCCGCCTGCAATGCAGGAGACTCCAGTTCGATTCCTGGGTCAGGAAGATCCTCTAGAAAAGGGATAGGCTACCCACTCCCGTATTCTTGGGCTTCCCTGGTGGCCAGTTGGTAAAGAATCTGCCTGCAACGCGGGAAATCTGGGTTCGATGCCTGGGTTGGGAAGATCCCCTGGAGAAGCGAAAGGTTACCCACTCCAGTATCCAGGCCTGGAGAATTCCAAGGACTGTATAGTCCATGGGGTTGCAAAGAGTCGGACACGACTGAGCGACCTGCATTTCATGTGGGGGCCAAGGAGGAAAACTGGACAGCGAGGCCCTGGGGCACCAGACCCACAAGGGAGCGGCCCTCCTGCTAAGCTCCCAGGCCCTGCTGGGAGAGAGCTGCCCGCGGTGAGAGCTTCCAGCTGTGCAAAGGAGCTAGAAAACACAGATCTTAATGCTGTCACTTTTGAAGTTGAAATGTCAGCCACTAGATCTACTCGTTTTGGAAGCTGTGCTTGCCAGCAAAAACAGTCTACAGAACTCCTGCCACTCATGGGCCTGCAGTCTGCAGTCTCGGCCTTGGGCCCTGGCCAGAGAAGTTGTCCTCTGAGTCCTCACCAGCCATCCTGTGAAGCCAGCACTGCCATGCCCACTGTCTGCCCTTCCATTCTGGCTGCCTCCCCACAGATGGGTAAAGGCCGGGCATGACCCACACCAGCATACGGGCAGACTCAGGGAGGCAGGAGAGCGGGCCGGCCCCTCTCTACTTCTGGCTGTGAGACCAGCAACATGGCCTCCCGGGAGCTTATCAAGACTTGCAGGGTCTTGGGCCCCGGCCCTGACCACCTACTCAGATCTCTGGGTGGGCCCAGCGCTCTGTGTTTAAGAAGGCCCGCTGGGATTCCCCATCATGCTCACATCTCAGAAGCACTGGCTTCAAAGGTAAACTTGGACCCACACTGCCTTAGCGGCTTCCCAGCTGGGTGATCTTGGGCAGGACGCTTACGCTCCTCAATCCCCAGCTTTCACATCTGCAAACAGGAATTAACGAGACCTTCCTCACGTGAGGAAGCAGGTAAAAGAGGAAAAGCTCTGAGGACACTGAGGAGGCCTCTATCGCACAAGCTACCACACTTCACCTCCGTACTCGGACTTGGAGACCCCGAGCCTCCACCCCCAGTCCACCCGTCGCCATGACTGCTGTTCTTGGGGAAACAGAAGAAAAACAAAGTTGTTTGGTGCCAAAGAGGTACCTAGCTTAGGCCACTCAGAGAATTACTGAAAAGGCTAGAACCACCAAATACGCCAAGAAGAATCACCCAGGAGCACGGGACGAGTGAGGGGCCGCAGGGAGGGCACACTGCCAGGGTCGCCTCAGGACGGTCTCCGAGGCGTTGCAGCTAGGACATCAAGTCCGCCGCTTTCAAAATCTCAACTACAACAATTCTTGAGGTAAGTCCTATGGCTCACTCTAAGAGAAAAGGCAGTGGGGCCCTAAGAATTTTAACACATTTCAAAAGGAGGAAAATCCCATGGACAGATAAGTCTGGCTGTGCTACAGTCCATAGCGTCACAGAGTCAGACATGACTGAAGCAACTTAAGCACAAAAATGAGGTTGTACACAATCATACAAAATCTGAGCATACTAAGTCACTTCAGTCGTGTCCAACTCTTTGTGACCCCATGGACTGTAACCTGCCAAGTTCTTCTGTCCATAGGATCCTCCAGGCAAGAGTATGAAAGTGGGTTGCCGTGCCCTCCTCCAGGGGATCTTTCCGACCCAGGGATTGAACCCGTATCTCCTGCACCTCCTGCATTGACAAGCGGATTCTTTACCGCTAGTGCCACCTGGGAAGCCCAAAATCTACAGGATGGAACAAAAGCAGTCCTAAGAAGGAAGTTCAAAGTGAAACAAGTGAAAAAGTCAAAGTCACTCAGTCCTGTCCGACTCTTTGCGATTCCATGGACCATACAGCCCATGGAATTCTCTAGGCCAGAATACTGGGGTGGGTAGCCGTTCCCTTCTCCAGGGGATCTTCCCAACCCAGGTCTCCTACACTGCAGGTGGATTCTTTACCAGCTGAGCCACAAGGGAAGCCCATATGGGCCTTNCCAGGCCAGAATACTGGGGTGGGTAGCCGTTCCCTTCTCCAGGGGATCTTCCCAACCCAGGTCTCCTACACTGCAGGCGGATTCTTTACCAGCTGAGCCACAAGGGAAGCCCATATGGGCCTTCCTCAAAAAAAGAAAATCTCAAGAAAATCAACCTAACCTACCACCTAAAAGAAATTGAAAAAGAACAAACAAAACCTAAAGTCAGCAGGAGGAAGGAAATAGTAAAAATCAGACAAATAAAATAAAGAAAATAATTTAAAAAATCAATAAAACCAAGAGCTAGTGTTTTGAAAGGATAAACAAAATCAACAAACCTGTGGCCAGGTTCCCCAAGAAAAAACAGAGAACCCAAATAAACAAAATGAGAAACAAAAAAAGAGAAATAACAACTGATACTGCAGAAACACAAAAAGAAAAAAAAAAAATCACAAGAGTATACTCTAAAGGGTCATATGCCAACAAAGTCGACAACCTAGAAGACATGGACAAGTTTCTAGAAACACACAGCCCTCCACAAGGGAATCAAAAAGAAATAGGCTAACCACTAGAAGGGAAACAGAATCTGTAATTCCAAAAAAGAAAAAACTCCCTTCAAACAAAAGTCTAGGACCGGACCAGATGGCTTCACTGGGGAATTCTACCAAACATAAAAGAACTTGCAGTGATCCTTCTGAAACCCTTTCAGGACTTCCCTGGTGGTCCAGTGGGTGAGAACCTGCCTGCCAATGCAGGCAACACCAGTTTGACCCCTGCTTTGGGAGGACTCCACATGCCACAGGGCGACTGAGCCCATGCGTCACAGCTCCTGAAGCCTGCGTGCCCCAGAGCCTCTGCAGCAAGACACCAACGCAACGAGAAGCCCGTGCACCACAGTCAGTGAAAGCCCGAGCACAGCAACCAAGACCCAGCACAGCCGAAAGTGAGTGAGTTAATTAATCTCTAAAAACTCAACTCTTCCCAAAGACTGCAGAGGAGGGAACCCTCCCAAATTCCTTCTACGAGCCACCAAGACCCTGATACCAAAACCAGACAAAGATACTACTAAAAGGAAAATTACAGGCCAGTATCTTTGATGAATATAGATGCAAAAATTTTGAACAGAATATTAGCAAACCACATCCAACAACAGATAAAAAAGATCATACACTGTGATCAAGTTGGATTCACCCTAGGGTCACAAGGATGGTTCAACAACGCAAATCAATTAGTGTGATATACCACATCAACAAAAGGAAAGACAAAAGTCACATGATCATCTCAACAGATATGGAAAAAGCATTTGATAAAATTCAACATTCATTCATGATAAAAATTTTCACCAAAGTGGGTCTAGAGGGAACATATATCAACATAATAAAAGTCGTTTATGACAAACCCACAGCCAACATGATACTCAATGATGAAAAGCTGAAAGCCTTCCCACTAAATTATGTAACAAGACAATGATGCCCACTCTGATGCCCACTCTTACCACTTTTATACAACATAGTATTGGAAGTCTTAGACATAAAAATCAGACAAGAAAAAGAAATAAAAGGCATCCAAATTGGAAAGTGGAAGAGCATAGGTAAAATTGTTATTACATGCAGATGACAAGATACTCTATATAGAAAATCCTAAAGGTGGTGCCAGTGGGAAAGAATTCACCTACCAATGCAGGAGACACAAGAGATGTGGGTTCAATCCCTGAGTTGGAAAGATCCCTTGGAGTAGGAAATGGCAACCCACTCCAGTATTCCTGCCTAGAAAATTCCATGGACAGAGGAACCTGAAGGCCTACAGTCCATGGGGTTGCAAAGGGTCGGACACGACTGAGCACATATGCACACAAAGATTCCACAAAAAACTATACAACTGATAAATGGACTTAGGAAAGTAGCAGGATGTAAAATCAACATACAGAAATCTGTCACATTTCTTTACACTAACAATGAACTATCAGAAAGTTAGAGAGAGAGAAAAAGACAATCCCTTTTAAAATCATGTCAAAAAAAACCCCTAGGAATAAACCTGATCAAGGAGGTGAAAGATACACAGTGAAAAGTAAAAAATTCTGAGAAAGGAAACTGAAGATGCTATAAGGAAATGAGAAGACACCCCAAGCTCCTGGATTGGAAGACTCAACATAGTTAAAATGGCCATATTACCCAAAGCAATCCATAGATTTAATGTGATCCCTATCAAATTACCCATGATGTCTTTCACAGAAGTAGAAAAAATAATCCTAAAATTTATATGGAACCATAAAAGACCCAGAACTGCCACAGCAATCTTGAGGAAAAAGAACAAAGCTAGAGGCATAACCCTCTCAGATTTCCGACAATACTACAAAGTCACAGTCATCAAAACAGTGTGGTATTGGCACAAAAACAGACAGATTTATGGGCCAGAAAAAGAGATCCCAGAAGTAAACTTTCACACCTACAATTGACTAACTTTCAACAAAGGCAGCAAGAATATACAATGACAAAAAGGCAGTCTCTTCAGCAAGCAGTGTTCCAAAGTGAGAGAGCCATATGTAACTAAATGAAGGGAGAACATACCCTCTTACCAAACACAAAAATAAATTCAAAAATGACTTAAAGACTTAAATTTATGACACCATAACACTCCTAGAAGAGAACATAAGCAAAACATTCTCTGACATAAATCGTACCAATGTTTTCTTGGTCAGTCTCCCAAAGCAATAGAAATAAAAATAAACAAATGGGACCCAATCAAATCTATAAGCTCTTACAAAGCAAAGGAATCCATAAACAAAATGAAAAGACAAACTACAGAATGGGAGAAAATATTTGCAAATGATGTGACCAACAAGGGCTTAATTTCCAAAATATACAAACAGTTCACACAGCTCAATATCAACAAAAATAAACAACCCAATCAAAAAACGGGGAGAGAAGACCTAAACAGACATCTCTCCAAAGAAGACATACAGATGGCTGGCAGTCACAAAAAAAATATGCTCAACATCACTAATTATTAGAGAAATGAAAATCAAAACTACAATGAGTTGATCACATCATTCTGCTCAGAGGTGATATCATATCACCTCATTCTGGTCAGAATGGCAATCACCAAAAAGTCTACAAATAATAAATGCTGGAGAGGGTGTGGAGAAAAGGGAACCATCCTGTACTGTTGGTGGGAATGCAAACTGGTGCAGCCACGATGGAGAACACAATGGAAGTGCCTTAACAAACTAAAAATAGAACTAGAATATTACCCAGTAATTCCACTCTTGGTCATATATCCAGAAAAGATGAAAACTCTAGCTTGAAAAGACACACGTACCCCAGTGTTCATAGCAGTACTATTTACAATAGCCAAGACATGGAAGCAATCCAGGTGTCCATCAATGATGAATGGATAAAGATGATGTCTCACACACACACACACACACACACACACACACACACACACACAGAGAACTGTATAGCACAGGGAACTATCTTCAATATCTTATTAAAAATGAGGTTACATATATCACAAATCTACGTGTATAGCTTGATATATGTGGCAATGTATATGAGTTTTAAGTACTCATACTTATGTGTGTATATATTTATTTGTGTGTGTACATATATATGTGTATATAAAGGTACACATACACACACACCTCACACCTCTTAGGTGTCCAGCGCGATGAATTTTTGCAAATAAATGCACCAGGTAAGCACCACCCTGATCAGACAGTGCGCTTCCAGCTCCCAAAAGACACTCACAGCCCTGCTCCATCCGCCCCCTCTCCCCAGGACAGAACCTCAGCCTAACCCCCTGCAGCGCAGACCCGTTCTGCCTGCTCCTGAACTCCGTGTAGTGACTCACACGGGAGCCCCCGCCTGGCGTGCAGCCTCTCACTCATCACCAAGGCCCAGTTATCCATGTCGCTTCCTTTGTCTCCTTGTGGCTATACAGAATCCTGTTCTCGGAACAGGCCACGACCTTCCCGCCCAGAACCCACACTTGCAACAAGCAGCCAGGTGAAGCGGCTTCGCTCTGCTGTGTCTGGCCAGCTGCGGTTGGCAGAGGGGGACGAATGGGCCGGCAGGAGAAGGAATGTCGGCCCTGCTGGGACTGCTGAGTGGTTCCCGGGCCACCAGAGACACAGACGCCTGTGCTGGCTGCTGGGGGTGAGCCGCCTGCGGCCTCCTGGCTGCACCCCGAACTGGAAGAGCCCTGCGCTCCCATGCATCCCCCGCGGGACTTTTCCGGGCCTCCAGACCGGACTCTGTGGGTGGCGGGGCCACGGTGGGGGCGGTGCAGGCGCCTCTATTATTCGCCTGGGATTTTTCTACTACGCCCTCGCCACGTGGCCGGCTTTCTGTGGTATCCTTTTATAATAAACCCAGGAGTCTCTAAGTAATCTCAGTGTCTCGGGCCTGATGTCACTTAGGTCACCAAACCCCACAGGCAACAGGTGCACTCGTGAAGTGCCTGCCTGTAATAATGAAAGCCCGGGAACCACCTAGACGCCCGCGGTCACATTAAGTAAGCTATGGCCCAGAAAGAGGCGGCTCTTGAACCAAACAACGCTGGGATGCATGAATGGACAACATGAAAATCTAAGATACACTAGTTAAGTTCGGGAAAAAAAAAGAAAGCAGATGGCAAAACGGTAGGTGTTAACACTGAACTGTTAGGGTGAGATTCTGCAGAATTTCTGCTTTCTATAGCTTTTTCATTTGACTTTTTGTTGTTGTTTTACAATGGAGACATTTTCTTCCTATAATCAGAAAATTAAAAGCAAAAGTCACCCATCCTTCTCACCCCCATACATCCAAGTTCTATAAAAACAGAGTACTTTTTACTGCCTTAGCAGGGCTTATGAAAGTGCTCTGGTGAATTCCCTGCAGGGCCAGCAACATTTGCCTGGGTTTTCTTACAGCACAATACCCTTTTAAGCCCTGAGGCAAGAGAGGCTGTGTGATCCAAAAAGCCCAGCATTTTCTATTGCCCCCAACCCCCTCTTCAATCCCATAGCCCTGAGGTCAGCTGGGTTACCAGGGAACCACAACTTGGGGGAACACTGGGTTTAAGGATGAAGCCAGCTTTAACTGGAAACTTCCACCTGCCAGACCCACAATACGCTGTGCACACCCACTCTCACACTTGTCCTCAAGCCACTCCAGTCTCCGGGTACTCGGATTCTTTCCACTTCAATGAGGCAGAAACTGCCGCTTGGCGAGTCAGCGCCCTGGAATATGCGTGGGGTGTATGTTGGCAGTACCAGGCCTGGGACTTGCTTGGCTCTCAGTCCATGACTTGCAATACGGAGCTGGGCCTTCCCCTCTCGGAGTTTTCAGAAACTGCCCGCAATTCACATCCAGCGTAACCAAAGCTGTTAACAGGGAAACCACTTAGGGAGAGTGAGTCAAATCGCATTTGCCAATTCACATACAGGGGGAAGCCTCAGGCGTCTCCTGGGACAGCAGTGCCATCTAGTGGCCATTTCCTGGGACAGCAGCACCATCCAGTGGCCGCGTCCCAGGACAGCAGCGCCATCTAGTGGCCGTCAGCCAGCAGCTCTTTCCTCCCCTGCCTCCTCCCTCTCAGGGGAAATGCTTTTCTCACCCGTTTTGGGGGCCAAGAGCCTGCTGTGACACAGGCATCCCATCACTTGTCTTCTCTTCCCTGCTTACAGCAGGCAGGCCCTGAGGCTTGGTGTGGTCATCTTGGAATAAAAAAGCTTTTGATCAAGCACAGAGGATTAGGAGCTAAACCAGGGTTTCACACCCTGGGCACTGTTGACATTTTGGGCTAACTACTCCTTTATTGTGGGAGGCTGTCCTGCATGTTGTAGGATTTTAACAGCATCACTGACCTCTACCCAGAGGCCAGTAGCACAGCCCTCCCCCCCTAGAATGCCTCCAGACACTGACAAATGTTCATTGGGAGCACAGTCACCCCCAGCTAATGACCACTGAGTTAATTTGCCTGGGCTGAAACCCCTTCTGGATTCCGGCCTTGCTAGAGCTGTGACCTGGGGCCAGTGACTCAGACTCTCTGAGTATTAAATCAGGGCACTGACAGCTCCTGCCTCGCAGGGTGGCTGTTTCAGACAACGAGCCTGGGGCTCAGCAAACGCAGGGGAGAGGCTCCGAGTCATACCTCACCAGTGCGGCACTGGAGCTGAAGCACGCAGGTCAGGGGCCAAAGCGACGCCCTTGGCCACGTTCTTCCTCATCCTGCTGCTTCCAATGCTTATTCTGTTGGCTGTTAGCGACCCAAGCTCTTTAATAAAGGGTTATAAAGAAGACATAAAAATACCCCCAGAACCACCCAGCAAAGGGGAGCCCTCTCTTAGCCCTACCATGCAGGAATTAAAAATGGTACTAGGGACTGACCTGTGTGCCCCCAAAACTCATGTGCTGAAACCCTAACCCCCAAAGGGACTGTATCTGGAGACGGAGGCTTTCAGGAGGTAATTAAAGGTCACATGAGGTCAGAGGGTGGGGCCCTGATCCAAGAAGACCTGTGTCTTTACAAGAAAAGGGAGAGACATCAGAATTCTCTCTCCACGTGCACAGAGGAACGAACATATGAGGACATAAAGAGAAAGAGGCCCTCAGCAAACCAGGAAGACAGGCCTCACCAGAAACCAGCCCTGGCGCCACCATGATCTTGGACTGCCAGCCGCAGGCACTGTGAGAAAATGCATTTCTGTCCTCTAAGCCGCCCAGCCTGGGGCATGCGCTCTGGCAGCCCAAGCATACCAAGACACATGGTGGGCACAGACATTCACAAAGCAACACGAAAACCACGGCACACGATGTGCGGCGACACCCAGTGGTGTGGAGGCCAGGGTCAGGACCGTCCTTACAAAGTGAGGTCTCGTGACTGATGTTCTCAAAGAGGATGTTCAGGGTCTGCAGCAGCTGAACGCACACGTAGCGGCCTGACTTCTGCCGCAGGATGTTCAAGAAGAAAACGAACATGTTCTTCTCCAGGAAGAAGCTGGGGAGAGAAGGGGACAGTGTCAGTGGTCTTCCACACATGGAAATGCACATCATCCTCCAGTTGCACACCCAACACAGGTGTGTGCAGCCCCACAAAGGCATCTGCAGAGCAGCCTGGTCACATCACTCGTGTGGGCTTGGCTTCCAATACATCCAGTTTCCACGCCACCGTCTTCCATTCAGAGAAACGCAACCTTTCAAACTCTCTTCCCAGAATGTGAGAACAGTGCTGATTCTGGGAAGTGGTGAACTTCCAGATCTCGGACAGAGGGGGAAAGGTCTTTCCCAACTAAATGATGACACAGTGATCTATCTACGCTTCTAAAACCAACAAGCCTCTGTTTTCCATCCATATTTTATAAGCATAGTTTTCCCCACTAAGTCTCCTTCCTTAGGTTTCATAGCTCGGACTGCTCACCAGCAACCTAGGAACCAGAGTAATTCCCCGCAAAGGGGCACGAGGATGCTGAATAGTTAAAGAGTTTGGCTGGTTTCTCGATTGGCAAGCTGGTCATTTCCACATCTAGGGAATGAGAACTGCAAAGAAAGAGAAAGTGCTGATGTGGTCATGGGACACCAGCCCGTCCCCAGGCCTTTCTTGTCCTGGACAGAATGTCTGTCTGCATGCAGGCTGGGGGCACTGACTTTGGGGGGGCACACAATGTCTCTTTTAGCCTTGAAATGGAGACCCCCTAATGCCTTTCTTTAAAGGAAGAAAATGTTTCTAGTTATGTTCTCCGTATTCAAGCTAAGGGCCTTCCTGGTGCCTCACTGGTAAAGAATCTTCTTGTCAATGCAGGAGACGTAGGTTCGATCCCTGGGTCAGGAAGATCCCCTGGAGAAGGGAATGGCTACCCACTCCAGTATGCCTGCCTGGAAAATCTCATGAACAGATGGGCCTGGTGGGCTACAATCCATGGGGTTACAAAGAGTCAGGCCTGATTTAGCGACTAAACAACAATTCAAGCTGAGACCAGGTCACCTCTCATCTAGGATGCTCAGGACAAGTCCTAGCCATCTTGTGGGTCTGTTGCTGACTCAGTCGGGGGGTCTCTCTCTTCCCTCTCCTGTCAGCTCCCTGCTGGCAGGACCGTGGGCCTGGTACTCACTCGGTCCTGCCGACCTTCTGTCTGAAAGGGTAAATGAATAAATAAATCTGACCTTAAAGGGACCCCTAAATTCTTTTCCAGCTCTGACTCTGGGAGTCCATGTGCCAACAAATGCCATCCACAATGACCCCCAGAATATTTCTATCATTTGACCAATCGTGTCTTCCTCTGCTTCAGGTTGTATAAAGCAGTGACTGCCAAGTGTCACCCAGTAAGGTCACTGTGGCCCAAGGACCAGCCTGGGAACTTGTCAACATGTCTGTACCTAGATCTTGTCCAGGGGTAGATTTAATGTGTCCAGTGTGAAATTTGGGTGCCTGGATTTTTACAACCCCCTAGGGGAGTGAGGGGATCCTTGGGAAAGTGGCTAATTCTAGGGCTGGGGCAGGGAACACGCCAGACGAGCCTGGAGCACCACAGAGGACCAGAAAGTAAGGAAGTGCTCCAAATCCAAAAGGACGCGGCTGTGTCACAGGGACACGGGAAGCGACCCGAAAGAGCTCCCCATGCTCAAAGCTGGAACAACACCAGCACAAAATAAATCCCAGAGCCCGGATTATCATCCAGAGTACAAAATGAACACCCACGAGTCCATGTTGATATACCTGCACCTTGAAGACGCTGTCTTTTTACAACTGAAACCTTGTACTGAGCAAGTGTGTTGGCACCATTTTCCCAACAGCATTATTTTTTAATTGAGGTATCCATGCTGATTTTGCAGACACAAGGCTACTGCACCCTTGACAGACTACAGAACAGTGTGACCATAACTTATATGCACTGGGACTAGCAAAAAAATTCATGTGACTCGCTTTACTGCAATATCCACCTTATTGAGGTGCCCTGGAACCAAACCTGCAAAATCTTCAAGAGATGTATATAAATAAATGACTGGATAGATTAATAAATGAGAGAAGAAGCAAATGTTCTATGCAGAAGAATTTCAAATATTGTCTGTAGATTCGCCCTCCTTCAAGAAGGTGGAGCTTAATTCCCACACCCCCATGAAGCTGGACTCACTTGCGGAGATAGGTGAGGAGGAAAGAGTAACCTTAGGGTAGAAAACCCTGGCAGATACCAGCTGTGCCAAGTGATCAGGCTAACCCACCAGGGATCACGTGGCTGTCAGGAACATGACATCCCGGGAGGTGAAGGGCACTTCCCCAGGAAGCACTCGTCCCCAAAACTTCCAGGCTAATCAGGAGAGAAACAGCAAAGAAACCCAGACTGGGGGACATTCTACAAGACAGCTGGCCAGTCCTTCTCAAGACCATCAAGGTCACAAAACACAAGAGAAAACTAAACAACTGTCACAGACCACAGGACACCAGGGAAACCTAACAACTAAATGCATTATGGCACCTGGATTGGGATCCCGGAGCAGAAAGAGGATGTTAATGGAAAAACTGGTAGATTCCAAATCAAGTCTGGAGTTGATGTAATAGTGGTGTTTTGACAAATGATATTAACAGGGGAACAGGGTGAGGGGTAAATGGAAACCTTCTGTGTAATCTAAAATCTAAAATTATCCAGAAACTTTAAAATGGATTAAATACAAATTCTCTTGGGGCCTCTGCAGGGCAGTGATTTAAGAATAACTGGGCCTCTGAGAGCTCAGCAGTTTCTCTAAGATGACAAGTGGACTAAAAAATTCCATTCTAGTAAAGGTGACTCTCTGTTTGTTTCCAAGGCAAACTATTCAATATCACAGTAATCCAAATCTATGCCCCAACCACAACTGCCAAAGAAGCTGAACAGTTCTATGAGGACCTACAAGACCTTCTAGAACTAACACCAGAAAAAGATGTCCTTTTCATTATAGGGGACTGGAATGCGAAAGTAGGAAGTCAAGAAACATCTTGCAAGTTTGGCCTTGGAGTACAGAATGAAGCAGGGCAAAGGCTAACAGAGTTTTGCCAACAGAACGCACTGGTCACAGCAAACACCCTCTTCCAACAACACAAGAGATGACTCTACACATGGACATCACCAGATGGACAATGCTGAAATCAGATTAATTATATTCTTTGCAGCAGAAGATGGAGAAGCTCTATACAGTCAGCAAAAACAAGACCTGGAGCTGACTATGGTACAGATCATGAACTCCTTATTGAAGAAAGTAGGGAAAACCACTAGACCATTCAGGTGTGACCTAAATTAAATCCTTTACAATTATACAGTGGAAGTGACAAATAGATTCAAAGGATTAGTCTGATAGAGCACCTGAAGAACTACGGACGGAGATTCTAACATTGTATAGGTAGTGATCAAAACGATCCCCGAGGAAAGGAAATGCAAAAAGGCAAACTGGATGTCTGAGGAGGCCTTACAAATAGCTGTGAAAAGAACAGAAGCAAAAACCAAAGGAGAAAAGGGAAGATACCCATCTGAATGCAGAGTTCCAAAGAATAGCAAGGAGACATAACAAAGCCTTCCTCAGTGATCAATGCAAAGAAATAGAGGAAAACAAAAGAATGGGAAAGACTAGAGATTTCTTCAAGAAAATTAGAGATACCAAGGGAACATTTCATGCAAAGATGGGATCAATAAAGGACAGAAATGGTATAGACCTAACAGAAGCAGAAGATATTAAGAAGAGGTGGCAAGAATACACAGAAAAACTATATAAAAAAGATCTTCACGACCTAAATAATCATGATGGTGGGATCACTCACCTAGAGCCAGACATCCTGGAATG